ATACCTCATTACTTCCTATTTAATAATACGGTTCTCATCAATTGGTTAAAGCAAGCTGAGAAGGAAGAACTATAGCTCTTGCTGTGGACTGGAAGGCGCTACACCAGACCGAACCTACTACGAGAGCGAGGAAGATGCCAATCGGTTATCCAACCTCCCCCGCATACATAATAACATATAACATACATATAACATAATAGTAATATAACATATAGCTCTTCGATAGCTCGCTTCGTAGCTCTAGCTGTTTTTCCTTGATAAAGGGAGAACCACCAAAAGAGTCAAGGCTATAACAAGGCTATAATAGAGGTCCATTGACCATACTACTATGATCAACTATAGCTACGAGTAACTCCATGAAACGATACGAGCGTAACCACCCACGATGCCATAATACAGACATAATACAGAATAGGGTATAGGGAATTCACGCGCTGATGTAGCTAACAGCCACATAGAAGAGTCGTGGGTTCAAAACAGTGAGTTGGTATCCACCGTTGTTTTCTTTGAAGTTAAGCCTCAGCGAATATTATGGATGGGACCCTAATCTAATCGCAGTTTATCCACTCACAAGACCACCGAGATCTTCGACTTTATATTCTCCCAACAAAACCAAAATCATAACACTAACAAAATCCTCATATCGATATTCCATCTATAATAGAGATGAATAGATAACGAGATAACGCAAGAGATCACTTATGACCTTGCGGATGGAGAGGGATTCGAACCCCCGGTATTCCTATCAATACTTCGGTTTTCAAGACCGACTCTTTCAACCGCTCAGACATCCATCCTTGCACGCAAGTGTATGCTGCACCTTCTCGGGAATACTACTTGTTGGAGAACTATGTGCTCTATGAAATTCCACCAATACGGATTATTCTGCCGTCGAGCTTAAAAGCGGATCCCTATAAGATTAAAAAGATCCTAGCTTTTCGATTTCATCTTCCTCGCGCAAATACGCAAATAACCAACAAGGGCGTTTTCGGAACATGCCTGCCGAACAAAAAAGAAGACTTAACGAGCTACTTATCTATATTTCTATTATATTTCTATATTACTCGCTCTTCGCTCGTTGAGTCTCTACTCTTCTTTCCCGGCTATTCACGCATGAAGAACTGGAAAACTCTGATATCCCGACCGAAGCGAAAACAGAATGATTCCTCGTAGAGTTAAAGTAGTTTCATCGTTTATAGCTCATTTGGCATATCTCGTAGCTAACTCCAAGTCTTATGAGGACATTCATCGCCCGTCTTTCTTTCCCTTTTTTATTCGAATTCATTCCTATTCAGATAAGAATCCTAGATCCCTCTACACAGCTGAATGTGATATGCCCTGTCATCCGGATCAGTGGACTTTGATATAAGGATGCTTAACAGACAAGTTTCAGCTCCGGAAATGTTCCTCACAAAGCTCCGGGACCAGATGGTTTTCTTCCAGAAATATGGGTCTCTGTATGTTAATTTATCAGTAATGCTTTTAGGCAGTCGAGATCCCCAGAGATCATGAATGACACTGTAATTACGTTAATTCCCTCCACCCCATTTCGGCCTATCTCTCTCTGCAATGTCTTGGTTAAACTCAACACCAAGATAATTGCTAATCGATTAAGACCCATGATGTGTAAACTAGTAGGAGAGGCGCAGTGTGGTTTTATACCTGGCAGACAGGCGGCAGTCTGGCACAGGAAGCGCTACATCCTATGAGAAAGAAGAAGGGCTGGATGGACAAGGAAAAGGCATATGACCGAGTTAGTTGGAAGTTATTGGAGCAAGTCTTGCGTAAAGTAGGCTTCCAGCAGCAGTTGATTGACTTAATCATGTTTTGTGTTACATCTGCCAAACTATCGGTGACACCTCAGAGGGGACTTCGACAGGGTGATCCTTTTTGGGTAAGAGAGCTGGAGGAGGGCCGCTGGAAGCGTTGAATCTGTCTAGAAGAAGCCCGAAATTGTCGCATCAGATGACTTGATTTTATTTGGCGAAGCTTCATGGAGTCAGGCACTACTCATTCAGGACATTTTAGCAGACTTTTGTGGAGAATCTGACCAAAAGGTCAATTCTAAACTTGATTTCTCCCCTAAGACACCTTCGGGTATGGCGAGAGTGATCAGCGAGAGGTTTGGAGTGCCACTCTGGGATGTAGTATGTTCCAAGGGCTCAAGGGCTGTTCGCCCAATCCTCGCTCTAAAGGCTAAGCTTTGATAGACCTATTTGCCTAAAAAAAGTGGCATACGGTTTAGCCCGTTAAGTCAGAAACTAAAAGGAATCTTCTAAGAAGGAGCACGGATGGTTTTTTCTCCCAGACGTTCGAGAAACAGGCTATGCCCTTCTTCGCTGGATTCAACCGACAACTTTCCCTTATTCATCATCCATCTTGAGCTTGACGGCTTGCCCGTGCGTGGAGTATTCCGTCCATTTATTTATTGAAGGCAAATCAAGATCTATTACTATCTGTATTCAAAGGATCCGTTGTTAGCAGTGTCATCAATGTAAGCGAATTGGCTATACTAATAGGACTAATAGGCGCTCCTTTACCCTTTACCGGATACCGGAGGATGCTACTATGATGCCTTCTTTTGGATTGTATACCACTAACGACTATCAAGATAGGCAGGATATGTTCTTTATGGAAAGACGGTTGAGGGGCACTACACTGACTCGCTTTTCTGAAAGGTTTGATCTTCGCCGCAATCCGCCTCTTTCCCAAGTCTCTCTCACCTTGAAAGCAAGAGCATCTTTATTTCTTTATAAAGTTTCGTTTGGATTGAATCTCTTCTTTGCCTGACTCCCTGGAATTTAAGGAAGTCCCGAATAAGAGATTAAGGCCAGAAGAAGAATCGGAAAGAGACCGTGCCCGGCAAGGGCTTAGATATAAATTCCCTTGTTTCAGCGCTAGGGCTAGGGTTCCTCCATCCGTTTATTCAATAGCCTATCTCGAGCCAAGCCAGTGACGATAACTAAGTAGTTAGTATAATAGTATAAATAATAGTATAATTAGTAGTTTACTGGGACGATCCACTAGATCCATAAGCCAAATAAGCCAAGATGAATAGCCTTTATTTTTAAGCTTTTTAAGAACCTCGTTCGATCCCGAACTGCATTCAAAAAAGCGAGGTACAGAGAACAGAGAACAGAGAACAGAGATTCGTTTCAAATGAGTTGACAGAGATTCGTTTCACTATGTGAAACTCATTTCGTTGAACATAGTTCAACTCATTTCGTTGAACTATGTTCAACAACGAACAACGAATAGTGAAACTCATTCGACTGAAAGGAACCGAAGACGTGTAGGCTTTATGATGAATCGCTTCCATACCTGGTAAATAAAAGATTCGTTTATCAACGATACGTATTACTTGACTATCTTGACTATACGTATCTTTTCGTTACACTCATTCCACTTATTTTTCCTTATGGTGGAAGACTTACCTGAGCCATCCTTGTCACCACTGTCTTACTTTTCCTTTTCTCCTTTTAAATCTTTCTTCACATCGTCCAGGTCCAGCTCCAGATTCATTGCAAGTCCGCAGACCGAAGCCAAAGAAGCAGCAGGAGAAACGGAATTCAAATATAACTTATTCTAGTAAGTTGCTCACGAGCCAGTTAAGATAGAATCTTTTTGATGAATAGGAGTCAGTGAATAAGCAGCCAAGGCAGGACGGAGTGAATCAACGATCCAATCCCCCCTCCGGGACTTTTCTGTGTCCATGCCATGCTTTGGCTGGTGCCAAATCAGGTGACTTTGAAGTTGAAGCTTGCCCAGTAGGCAGTTAGATGTAACCATGCTGGCAGTACTATGATAGCCTTAGAGTTTGAGGGTCTCTGTCCCTAGGAACGTGATGCTTAGGTGCCAGGTTTGATATGATATTGATCCAATCAGTCGACGTGAGGCACTCTTTCTCTTATTTTCTCTTATATAGGCTATATTGGGGGCATCTAGCTCTAAAGCGGTAGAACAATATGATGCAGAGAATATTCTGCTTTTCTTCACTTGTTGGCTTAAAAAAAGACATCCATGGCACCCGCTTCAAGTAAAATAGAATATAGAAGAAAAGAAATGAAAAGTGGAAGGAAAAGGAAATGAAAAGAAGATGAAAAATCAAATTCCTCTTATTTTTTTGAGGAAAATAAGAGTAAACCATTTCCTTTTCTTTTTCTTCCAAAATTTTTTTGAACCAAAGATAGTATAAAGGAAATATAAAAAAGAGTAAATTCCATAATTGATTATAACAAAGAAATTTCTATATTTAGTTCTCTATTATCAAATATTACTCTCATAGTCCTTTTATAGATGTTTTTCCATATGGTCCTTTTTTTATCTCCTGGCTGCCATGTTGGTATTACTTTAAAGGCTAAAAGTATATTTTGAAATCAATTATATGTCCGGTGACGTAATCTGATATTTGTTAGACGGATAACATAAAAATAATGACTATGGTTGTGTGTTAAGATTCTAACGAAAAATCACATTTGTAGACTATGGTGTTAGTAGAAAGTGACTCTAGTTTACAAACGACGCAGGAACGACCTGTGGAATTGTGTATGACAACAAGATATATTATCATTGTAAAATTACACTTTTAGTTCTCAAACTAACACCAACTAAGATCAAAATTAGAACTAATCGTAGAAAGATACCTGTAAATGAAATATTTGATAATAGTGAACTAAATAAGGAAATACTTATATTATAAAGAATCAATTATGAAATTTAATCCATAAAAAATGAATTAACAAATTTATTGAAGGATATAATATATGGACAATCGGATATAATTCTGCATCCATTTGGGTTCAAGAATGAATATTTAAATTTTAGATCTAGAAAGAGATTTATCGTTGTGCCTAGGTGGAAGCGCCGCCACCTAATTTAGGTCCTACCTTGAAGATAAAAATATACTCCGTACTGCATAGCTTTTATTTTGAGAATAAAGAAAAAACGCCTTGGTAAAAGAAAGACTTAAACTGCAATGAATAAATACTTTGTAAGAAAAAAAACCAGAATGTTGTTTGTTATATTAGAGCACAACAAGTTTGAATGTGAACTAATCAGCAATAGTAACAAACATCAGCATTCAATTGCAAGGAAGGGGAGGGGATTTGTTCCAAACAACATCGCTGTAACCAAAAACTCTTGCAAAACAAGAAACAAGCTGACCTTGAATCACATCTTCTGCCGGAAGCTCCATATCTACTGCTGCCTCTCTTTTCAGGGAAGTCACCCCTTTGTCTGATATCCCACAGGGCACAATGTGATCAAAGTAACTCAAATCAGGATCAATGTTAAATGCCAACCCGTGTGACGTCACCCCTGATGAGATACGCACCCCAACCGCACCTATCTTTCTGTCGCCGACCCAAACACCGGTCTCTCCGCGTGATCCTCCGCTCATTGCTTTCACCCCATACTCAGATGCTAACTCAACCATGGTCAGCTCTAGCTTCTCCACGTACTTCCTTGCCCCGAGACCCAAATTTCTCAATGATATGATGGGATACAAGATGGCCTGGTGAGGACCGTGAAATGTAATGTCACCTCCCCTCTGGGTGTAGTGAAGCTCTGCGCCCATTGATTTCAACTCTGAATCCGGAAGTAACAAATTGTGATCCGTTCGCCTTTTGCCAAGGGTATATGTTGGTGGATGTTGTAAAGATATCAATGTGTCCGTTATTTTACGGGATTTTCTTTGTGATGATATCATTTCTTGTAGCTTTAGTGCTTCAAGGTACTTCACGGTGCCCATTTTCCACACCTCAAGGATTCGTGGAGATGTCATTTGCCAGAGAAGTATGAGACTGAATCAACCCGGCTTCAATGAGAAACTTGGGACAGAAACCAGCAGCACATTTACTGAAATATACAAACCATTCTGAACATATAATTCATGGTAGAACATAGATTAGATACAAGAAGAAAGCCAGGCAATGGAGATGTCCTTATAAGCAATTATAGTTCACAATCTAGATACACATGAGATGTGCATCTAGATTAATACGAAGTACTAATCTGTTACAACCAATTTAGAGTTTCAAAGACATTGAGAAGCTATTCAGTATAAGGTTCTCACGCTACTGATCTTACTCTATAATCTATCCTATAAATTTGCAATAAGCAAAGTGCACTATATATGTCGCAAAGATGACGAACATCACAAGCTCATTTGTTTGTTGATATGATGAACATATCGATCCATTCATTATAAATGGTAGAAACTAAATGCATTTCAGACTAAATTACACATAAACCCCAAAACACTTTTAATCAATAATTTCATATAAGATTAGATTTAATTTGTATCGTATTTTTGTTATTTGTCTTTGGTTTTAATTTTACGTATTTGAAATGTATTTTTTTTTGAGGTTTTATGGTGTGTTATGTACTTTTTTAATTATTAAGCTTATTCTAATTGTTGTTTTGTTAAATTTCAATCGATTACACATTAACCAAATCAATTTAATAAAAAAAATCAAGGCATTGAAACACTAAGAACTCATTCTCAACTGCGGAGTATTTTAGACTCCATGGCAAAAACTACTCCACATTTATTCAAGCTTTAGGGGCTTAAACGGATAATATCCGTTTAGGATCTACTATAACTGTATCCGAATCCAATTAGGGCCATTATCCGAATCCTAATCCTATTTTTCCAAACAATCGAAATACCTATAACGGTCCTGTTTGGCATCAGCATTAGAGATTAGCGTTAGCGTTTTGAAAAAGCTATCTGACGGTAGCCTTTAGCGTTAGCATTTTCAGAATTAATCTGGACCATTAAAATTTTATCCAAAACGCTAACGCTAATCGAAAACGTTGTAACCAAACAAAGCCAACAAGTATGAAAAATCTGGAAAAATCAAATCGAGAATCTAAAAAATAAAAACAGTTGAACATCTAATAAACCAATAACTAGTATGAAAAAGAAACATATTAATATACAATTATGTAGAAAACTATGCTTTGAAAATTAATACCTATACAAAACGCTAACGCTAATCGAAAACGTTGTAACCAAACAAAGCCAACAAGTATGAAAAATCTGGAAAAATCAAATCGAGAATCTAAAAAAGAAAAACAGTTGAACTAATAAACCAATAACAGGGTCGTCTCCGAGAAATTAAGGGCCCTATACGACACACAGAAAATTGGCCATTGTGTCATAATATAATAAAATCTATCAATTACTTTATTTAAAAATAATTAAATTATAGTAATAAGAATAATAAAATATCAAATTCATGGTGTAATAAAATATCAAATTCTTGGTGTAATCAATTTATAATTAAATGTTGGAGCCCATATTCTGAATACTTTACAACAAAAACAAAACTTCAAACTCCAAAACTTCAAATAACCAAATCAACACGAAAATTTAAAATTAGTGAACTTAAACCTGATAAATTATAACTACAATTTAATTATATTTATATTGAAAATCATAAGTCAACTTGAACTCAAATAATCTAGTTCATGAAATTTTAGAACTGAAAATTATTTATGTACAGTAATTAAAAGTAATAACTAAATACTTTAAAAATTTAACATTATTTAATTTACTCTGATTGCTCTAAAATTCTTAGAGTAGACTAAAATTTTAAAAACAATACTCTAAAATCATGATTCATGAACATTATGAAATTGATAAAATCAACTACCAATGACCTATTTGGAGTAATTACTAATTTCTAAAAAAGAAATAGAGAAAAAAACCTGATTTAAGTGAGATTGGGTGATTGACCTTCTAATCTTTATTGATTTTGAGTGTATCGCTACCCCCTAGAAGTTGCTGTGGTGGGTTCGTTTTGCCGAGGTCGGAACTCTGTCTGTCCGTCCAGAGAGTGAGAAGCGATCCGACATCGGCGATTGACCATGAGCTAATTGAGTAATTGGCAATTGCGATTGAGATTGTGTGGTTCCGATAGACTGGCTATTGCTTGTAAATGGGTAGTAATTCCTTTGGTACCTAATAGGCCACTAGGCCCACTGGCCTTTACTTTTTTGTGTTTTAAATTTTTTATATTAATAAAAAAATGTGTATACATACATACATACATACATACATATATATATATATATATATACACACTAGCTGGGCATGCACTACGTGCATGGGTGCCCAGTTTGATTTATTGTTTTTTATACTCCCTCCGTCCCGGAGTATTCGTCTAGTTTTGACTTTTGGAACTGTTCATCTAAGCACTTTGACTCATTAAATTCTCTCAATGTGTAAGCCTAAATATAGTTATATGTGATCTTGTTTGATTTGTCTTAAATTTCTATAATTTTTTTATATACAAAATACAAGATAAAATGGATTAAAGAAGTGTATTGGATGGTGTGTAAAAATGAGAGTGGACAAATACTCTGGGACGGAGGTAGTACTTAAAGGTGTGTGAAGTTGGGTACTTATAGGGTAGGTATTGTAAGTATTATAAATAATAGTGAGTGCTATGACAGAAAAAGTTTGGTATTTACAGGCATCTAAGATATTACAAAAAACAAGATATCTAGGAGAGAGGGAGCAACTCTGATTTTTGTTGCTTAGATAGTTAGATATCAAAGAGTTTGCAAAAAAAGGTGTTTCATATATTTCATGTTAATAAAATTGAAACAAGGACAGTAAGTGATCATTCAAGCTTTATTTGTTTGGTAATTGGCTGACAACATTTGGAGTGCACTAGTGCAGCCGTGCAGGCGTGCGTGTTTGTTTCCAGCATGCACAAGTTAAGATTCTAAAAGAACTTCTCCATATATTCTAAAATCATGTTTCTCCCATCAACACTTGATCGACACATTTGTGATTCTTAACATTAATGAAATGTCTCTGCCAGCCAACAATTATCATATCAAAATCAATGTATCAATGTTCAAACTAACATAGTTGTTTAACTATTTGTCTAAAGTGTATTTCTTTTCTAGTGTGAAGAAATAGTTAGGTTTCAACTACTTTATTTATTGAGACATAGCATCATTAAGTTGAGCCTCGAAAATCTCCATCCATAATCTAACGAAGATAGACTAAATTTAAGCGAAGGTGAAAACAAGATGTTAAATAAGTTGTGCACATCTTAAACATAAAATTTCAACAATGAAGGAACAAGGCACAATGTTTGAGAAACCTAATGCACATGTGCCTTCTAATGTTTGGCTAAAAGCCTGATCATTACTTTTCAACACCTGCCAAAAGAAAGTCTCTCATATCTTCAAATCTATCAATCTAAATTATACGTACTCTTCAATTGATTTTTTGAATATTCATAGGACAAAATTGTATTATTCATATCAGCAGCTATAATCTCAAAGTGATATACCACAACAATGAATAAGTTGCACAGATTATTTGCACCTTTGAACTCAGAGTAGAGATAACTTATGATACTGAACAGATGCATGCAAAACTTTGCTAAGAAGATGACATAAGTCTCATGAAGAAGAAAACGAATCCAAATTATCATACACCGAATCCTAAAAATGAGCTGTGATTACCTGGCTAATGTGTGAAAATTTGTCTTTTGTTAAGTCAAACCTGAAATTAGAGAAATGTGGAGTAGAATAATACACAATGAAGTAAAAAAAGATCTGGCTTCTGGATTCAGAATGATGAGATATTCTCTCTAGCTTTGATGTTAAGAGCCAAACACGGAGTGTGTTTCCTCTTTTATGCTGTAATTTATTTTCTGTTTCTTATCAGCCCCATCCATGACAAGGGATTAAGTGAACTTGTGTGATTTTTCATCCTTTTTTATAGCCCTTTAGTTATTTATCATACTATTAGTTGCTGCCTTATGGCTTTATGACAAAAAAAATAGACATGTTTATTGAAACAATATATATAATAGTTGGTACGAACAAAACTCTAAAAATCATAAGGTGTATAATACAAATATAAAAATCAGATTAGAGTTTTGTTCTGTCTTTTTATTCCCCTTAAAAAACACCTTATTCAATTTCAAATAACCAAAGAAGAAAAATTTTCAAAAAACCTTCATATAATTCAATTTCAAACAGCAAAATTAGAAACCAAACCAATTCTGATCAAATACCGTACATGTAAAATTGTTTTTTAATTTTCATTTTTCAGAAATCGGATAATTTCGAAATCAAGAAGCAAAGAAAAATCAGACATACGAAGGAAACGAAGAAGAAGATAAGAAGCACAGTACCTGGTCGAGGAAGAAACGTAGCAGTAGAGGAATACACCGGCAACTGAGAACAAGATTGAGGATAATTCCCTGATAAACCCGTTACTATACGCCCAGCAGAAACACGTATGGGTTCAGGAAAGGGATCCCCAGAATTCTGGGTATCTGTTGTTAAACCCGGGCGACTACTTTATGAAATGGATGGTGTAACAAAAAATGTTGCCAAAAGAGCCATTGGTATCGCAGCATCAAAAATGCCTATACGAACTCAATTCATTTTTTTGGAAATAAAATAAAATAGAAACGGCGGACTTAGAAACGGCGGACTTAAACAGATTTCTTCGTAGATTTTTGGACAAAAAATATTTCTTTTTTCTTTGCACATTGCGGTGATAAAAACGGAGTAAGAAATGATATGATTCAATCTCAAACCCATTTAAATGTAGCAGATAATAGCGGGGCTCAAAAAATAATGTGTATTCGAATAATCGGATCTAGCAATCGGCGATATGCTCATATTGGTGACATTATTGTTGTTGTTATAAAAGACGATGTGCCTAATATGACTCTTGAAAAATCGGAAGTCGTCAGAGCCGTAATTGTGCGGACCCGTAAAGAACTCAAACGTGACAACGGAATTATACTACGATATGATGATAATGCCGCAATTATTATTGATAAAGAAGGAAATCCAAAAGGAACCAGAATTTTTGGTGCAATCCCACGAGAATTGAGAAAATTAAATTTTAATAAAATTGTTTCGTTAGCTCCCGAAGTATTATAAAAGGCTTTTGAATCTAGTCTACGAACTTTAAAAAATCTTGAACATTGGGTAAAATCTGTCTAACATATATAACTTTACCACACTCAAAATTCATCAAAAAATAAAGAGAAAAGCATGTTTATTTTATATAAAATTCTTGAGCCTCATTTAAGTGGAGATAATCAAGCATATCATCATCCATTGATGCCACAAATCAGAACCTAAAAACTTAGCATAAGTTACGTTAATCTATAAGAACTCAAATCACTAGCACTTACAAGTCCAAATAATTACAAAAAAATAGAGTACAATAACAAAATTACAGAATTGCACAATAACAATAAAAAAATTGCAGAATTGTACAATAAAAAATGAAGTACAATAACAAAACTACAAAAATAGGGTGCTCAAAATTGCACAATTGTAGAAAAAATAGAAAAAACGAGAAAAAAGCACAAAAGAAGAACAGAAAAAATGAGGAGAAACAAAAAAAGAAAAAGTAAGCAGAGAATGGTAGAGTGAAATGAAAACTGAAAAAAGGGAAACAAAAATGAAAACTGAAAAAAAAGTGAACGGAAACTGAAAATTGAAAATTTTAGCAGTGAAGGGAAATATTATCGAAAAAAGTAAAAACTGAAACAAAAAAAAAATGAACTATGCAGCGAAGGGGAAGATTATCGAAATTAGAGAACTGTAAAACTGAAAAACTAAGTAGATCATAAATTACCGAAAATCATATCGGCAACAAGTAAGCAGAATCGAAAATTAGATCTTGGCGAAAACTGAAAATTAGATCGACTAAAACTGAAAAAGTAAGCATCACTGAAAATACTTGTCTTGGAGATGGCGATCGGAATACCTGCGATCGGAAGAAGATGGTGATTCAATCGGGCGAAGATGGCGATTGGTTTTCCGTATGGTGCGATCGGGTGAAGGGTAGCAGCGAAAAATATACTTTATTACTACCTGTGAGTATTTGTCCACTTTTGGAACTGTTCATCTAATCTAAACACTTTGACTCATCAAATTCTCTCAATGTGTAAGCCTAAATATAGTCATGTGTGATCTTGTTTGATTTGTCTTAGCATATAGATTATTAATATATAATTTCTATAATTTTTTAATATACAAATTACAAGATAAAATGGATTAAAGAAGTTTATTTGATATGGGTTTTGAGCTTTTAAGTTCTTATTATATTATGTTCATATAAGATATGTTTGGGAATAATGTTATTAATTAGTGTTAACGTTTTGAAAAAATTATCTACGTTTAACGTTTAGTTTTAGCGTTTTCAAAGTCAATCTGTACCGTTAAAGTTTTATCCAATACACTAACGCTAATCTCTGACGCTAATCTCAAATATGTGCATTTTATATACTTCCTCCATCTCTGAAAGATAATGTTCCTGTTTTATTTTTTGTGCATTTCTTAAAACACTTCTATCTTTCCTCAAAATGAAAAACAACACAATTAACTCTGAACAAATTTTTTAACAGGAATTTTGATTAATGTTATTTATATTTTAGTCATGGACAATTGTATATTATAATTTCAAGAGTAATACATTATTATGACTTGAAGATTTTGATGTGCAACCAAGACAGTATTTTCATAAATGTATACGAGTAATTTGAATTATAAAGTAGTCTTTCAAATATTGTAAATCATTTAACTTTTGTAGCTTAAAATAATGAAATCTCTTTATTGTACCATTCAAAAATGATGTTTATATAATTTAGTAACTTGAATATCACTCGTGCAACAGGAGTGTGTGAGAGTAGTTTTAACAAAACTCGTGTGTTTTGTTCTGCAAATAAAATTCCCAAAATATGTGTGCACAGAGTCACCATTGGCGCCCGTATTTCCGTTAGTCCCGCTGTCCCGGACACGATCTTAGCTAGGGTTTTGCCCTTCATTGGTCAACACTTCTACTAGTCGAGGCAAAGCAGGCTGAGAATACTATTGACGCCGCAACAAAGAGATGGGGTCGAGAGAGAAGGACCACACCACGCCACATCTCAGCAGCCTTGTAGTGCGACCAACCGAAAGCGGTGGAGGCGGTGGGGGGGTAAATGCTTCCGGCGGCGGCGGCGGCGGAGCTAACGACTACGAACCAGGTGAGGTTCGTAGCGGTCAACCTGCTTACGCTCGCTCCGATCGTTTTCTTGATAGCCATGGTTCGTTGTTAAGTTCAATTTTTTTCGAGCATTCGCTGATATTATTATCTCATAATCAATTTAGAAGCATAGGTCTTTTGGTCTGGATTTCGGCTATTGCATACTCGTATTACATAAATATATGCTTTATTTGCTCAGTATCTGTTGAAGAGGTCACCCAGTTCAGAACTTATGCTCTTTTTCCATTTGCCTGCTTTCCAGAGAAAGCATCTTTTTCTGCCCACTAAATATTTATTGAATCACATTCTTTTGATTTTTAAGGATGTTCATAAAGTGTGTTCCTTTCGTATTCATCTTCAGAAAAAGTAAATACATGGATGAGAAGGTTTTTCCAGCATTGGAGTTTGATCTCTGTGTTGGACATGTCTTTAAATTGAAAGATGTAGTAGATTACCTTGTTAGAGTTACTTTTTTCATATACCTCTTTATTCAGGTGCTTGTAGAGACTACTCCGTATAGATCTATAGAGAAGTTATTATTGTTGGGGGGAAACTATAGCATTTCATTACACGGCTGGGTCATTTAATCCATGAATACCTTTTCCCTGCATTTGTCAGTGTGCCAGTAACAGCTAGTGCATTTCATGCACCATATTGCTGTTCAAGAGTCACATATGGACTGTTCAAATTTGAACAAATTTTGCTATTGTGTTTACAGCTTTGAATAGTTGCCTGGTGCCAGAACTTGAATCTTGATGAACGCACTTTGGTATGGTTACTGGTGATGGATTTGGTCTGAATTTTTTAGGGGTATTGTGTTATAAAATATGCATGCATATGGAATATAACCTTAAACGACTTACTCAACCAACAGTTTGTGATGCCTGGCACAACTACTTGGCTCTTAAAGGAAGAGGCACACTCTTCTGGGTGCTGGTGATGGATGTGATATGAAATATTGGTTCTAAGGGGGGTTTGAATGGTAAAGGTGCATGTGGAAAATGATCCGGAAGAACTTGGGTGCATGTGAGTCAGGGACATTTAATGAGATCTTTATTTATGGTCAGCCATGTATTCAATCTCATGAAATTATCATCTAGAATTTGAGATTTTGACATAAGGTGGTTTGGGAAGATGTTGGGCACTACCATTCACATTCATTTTTGCTAATGCTTATGTTGGTGGTACTACTAATACTAATGACTATCACCAGTCCAGACATTTTTGATGAGGGATATAATCATATAAATTTATAACATCTGGTGGGTGGTTCCGGACTTCCGATGGTATCAAGCTGAATGTGAATGAAGACACATATTTGGTCTGTGATGCTGTGGATTAGGCAATTGACATCCAATCTTGTGGTTGGCTTTTAGTTTCATAATTGCAGATGGTTAACTTGGGAGGGTTAATTGTTCTTGCCAGCTTACTCAAGCAAGTTTCCATTAGTTTGTATCATCCAGGAATTATTTTTAAGCAAAATATTTTGATTTGAGCTTTGGTTTTCTCTTGTATTTGCTGGATGAGGCACAAGGTTTTCATTTTTTGTCCTCGTTTCAGTAGTACATCAAAAATTTAAGTTGATTATTGCTCAAAAGAGAATTGGTTAAAACTATTTGTTTCATGTAGTTTTACAGTCATGCTTGACCTTCTTTTCCTATTTAATCTTACCACTTTTACTGAAACAAAATGTTAAAAATAATTTTAGTGGAATTAGAATTGTGATTTACGAATTATTTCTGTACACTAGTGTAGCTGGAAACTGGGATGGTGATCACATTTGAGCCAGTAATAGTCTCCGTAAGCAGCGTTGTCTTTGATAAAACAGACTTGGGTTTACAGTGGTGTGGTTTGGGAGAGACAAGTATCAATTTTTTTTATGATTTTGGGTCGATGGTATCGGGTTTTAAACTAAGTAACTGTTTTGGTTGTATCTTGAGGATCACAAACTGTTGGATTTGATGGGTGGATATAACTACTCTTTGCTACGGTGTTTTGTTATTGATATCCATGACAAGCCATTCCAGAGGTAATTTCAAGGAAGTATTCCACTGTGGCCAATGTTGTCGCAACATTACTGTTCTTCTTGACAAGAAGATCTGAATGGGTTGCAAGGTTTAGCTTAAGTAGGAAAATATGATTTGGATCTGTTACAGTAGCATGATATGCTCTCTTATGTTCTGAGCTTCCCCGGTCTTTTTCAGGGTATAGAATGCACACAAGTTCTGTTTCTCCCGTACGTCGTAGAAATGCAGATCACAGGTACAGTCTGGATTTTGACCATTCAAAGGGTCTATCACATAGCCGTGGATTTGGTAGTGGGAGAGATACTAGTAGTAGATATAAAGACTACTCGCCCCCCTATAGTCGCGGAAGGGAAAGTGGCAGATTCCATGTTCGAGGCTATGATCGACACAGTAATGTTCCGGGGTCACTTAGAGGAGAAGTTGTGCCTAGAAATAATCCAAATGTACGTCCAAGAGAAGGCGACTGGATATGCTCTGATCCTTTGTAAGTTTCCTTTTGGTTCTTTGCATTTACTTGTGATGTTGATCATTTTAAATCTATGCATAACTGTGTTCTTCTCTTAGGGTCAGTGTTCGTGAAATGCTATGGGTAGAAAATATAGAGAAATGTGGGGGGAATTGGAAGGAATGAAAGAGCATGGGAAAATAAAATGTTGGTTCAAAATCAATTAAATTCATTTTTTTATTTAATTCAAACTCAATTTTTTTATTATCTATTTTCTTCTATGATCTATCATATAAGGAATTAGAAATGCTTCCTGGTGGCAGAGGTAAGATTTGCATACATCTTACGGTTCTTACCCATAGATCCTAGTTTCGGGTGGGACATGCGTGGTATGTTTGGTTTTCAACTTTATATAGAGACCACATGTAATAGTCTTAAATCATTTTCATAGTTCATTTCTCTTTGCCTTTTGGGAGGTAAACCCACACATAGGAAAGTAACTTTCCATGACATTTATTCCCTTTTCACTTTTGTTTTCTGGAATCCAGAAACAGTACATGCAAACCATCTGATAGTCTGGTTTCTTGTGTTTACTTGCAAACCATCAAACAGTACATGCAAACCATCTTTCGAATAGTTCTTTCATACTGTGTACTTTGATATATCTGTATAGGTGTGACAATCTGAATTTTGCTCGGCGAGAGTACTGTAACAACTGCAAGAGACCACGTTATGCATCTGCTGGGAGTCCTAGGAGAGGTCACCCTCCTCCTCCTCTCCCACCCATCTCTAGGCCCCTACATGTCCCC